TTTGTGGTCTACCCACAGTCTCACTTTGTGGTCTACCCACAGTCTCACTTTGTGGTCTACCCACAGTCTCACTTTGTGGTCTACTCACAGTCTCACTTTGTGGTCTACCCACAGTCTTACTTTGTGGTCTACCCACAGTCTCACTTTGTGGTCTACCCACAGTCTCACTTTGTGGTCTACCCACAGTCTTACTTTGTGGTCTACCCACAGTCTCACTTTGTGGTCTACAGTCTCACTTTGTGGTCTACCCAGTCTCACTTTGTGGTCTACCCACAGTCTCACTTTGTGGTCTACCCAGTCTCACTTTGTGGTCTACCCAGTCTCACTTTGTGGTCTACCCACAGTCTCACTTTGTGGTCTACCCACAGTCTCACTTTGTGGTCTACCCACAGTCTCACTTTGTGGTCTACCCACAGTCTCACTTTGTGGTCTACAGTCTCACTTTGTGGTCTACCCACAGTCTCACTTTGTGGTCTACTCACAGTCTCACTTTGTGGTCTACCCACAGTCTCACTTTGTGGTCTACCCACAGTCTCACTTTGTGGTCTACCCACAGTCTCACTTTGTGGTCTACCCACAGTCTCACTTTGTGGTCTACCCACAGTCTCACTTTGTAGTCTACACACCGTCTTTCACCCATACAAACAGACCTAGAGATCTAGACCTAGATGTAGTTCTTATGTGTTGGGTACTCTTTATTTTAAATCATTTATTTTAGAATACCTTAAAATTAGGAACAGACAAAAATAGCGGAGGAAAAGGCGGAAGCAGAAGTGGAGCTAAACAATTGACCAGCGGTAGTATTGTCCCACGTGTCAACAGTAGCCAATCCTGTCAACAAACTCACGCGACCAGAGCAAACTTCCCGCCGTCTGCTGCAACAGATCCCCTCCCTCTGCCCTATTGTCCAAGGCCCTTACGGCCGGCGTCCGGCCAACAAAGCTCAAGCGGTCGCTGAGACAAGCAGACGCTGGCGGAGAGTTGCGAGACAATTGTTGCCACAACACACTCGGGCCTGTGTCGTCCCTGATAGATTTAGCCCGACAAACAAGACAAGGCCAGTCTTATTTCTGTCTCACAACCGTGTGGGGACATCCACAAATAGCCTGGGTGCTTGTTGACACAAATAGCCTGGGTGCTTGTTGACACAAATAGCCTGGGTGCTTGTTGACACAAATAGCCTGGGTGCTTGTTGACACAAATAGCCTGGGTGCTTGTTGACACAAATAGCCTGGGTGCTTGTTGACACAAATAGCCTGGGTGCTTGTTGACACAAATAGCCTGGGTGCTTGTTGACACAAATAGCCTGGGTGCTTGTTGACACAAATAGCCTGGGTGCTTGTTGACACAAATAGCCTGGGTGCTTGTTGACACAAATAGCCTGGGTGCTTGTTGACACAAATAGCCTGGGTGCTTGTTGACACAAATAGCCTGGGTGCTTGTTGACACAAATAGCCTGGGTGCTTGTTGACACAAATAGCCTGGGTGCTTGTTGACACAAATAGCCTGGGTGCTTGTTGACACAAATAGCCTGGGTGCTTGTTGACACAAATAGCCTGGGTGCTTGTTGACACAAATAGCCTGGGTGCTTGTTGACACACAAAAACAGCTTGTGCATGTCCAGATGGTCTCACAACCACTTATAATTTTCCTTTCGGCAGATTTACCACAGTCCTGCTCCCATTTACCACAGTCTTGCCTCCATTTACCCTAATCCTGCTCCCACTTACCCCAGTCCTGCTCCCACTTACCTCACTTGCAGTAGCGTAGCTAGGATTTTCGGCAGATCTGCTGTCTGTTGAGTAAGTAAAGTAAAAAGTTCCCTTTTTCAAACCTGACGGTCTATAGGGCAAGTGAAGTAGAGTTCACTTGTTTCTGTGACCTCGGCATATGAAGAGATAGTGTGGTCAGCACTATGCCCAGCCGCCTTTACTTTCCCTAACGTGAATTAGGTACCCATCAGAATTGGGTGAACCCAGGGACGGTCTACTGATTTATACCCGGATTCGATCTCGAGACTAACGGGTTAGCAGTCTAGCCCTCTACCGCTAGACCACTCCGTCCCACTGTTGAGTGGGGCAGGGAATTTCCCAGGCAGTCGAGGTTTGCAGCGATACATGCCAATTTACGGGTGCCGGATGCCAATCTAACAAAAGAGTCGAAGTTCACATTTATTTATTGACTAATTCTCTAAATGGCTCGCACGACAATGCAGCAACGCTGTACTGTTAATATTGTTACACTATCTAGGACCCTGTTTGCCGCCCCCCCCCCCCCTCGAAAGCAACTGCCTGTACAGTAAGAAATAGCTGGTGGCCTTTTTGGAACCAGTAATTATTTCTACAGTAGAAAAGAAACTGGATTTCCGTTTTCTTTTTGAAATTATACCCCTGTGTGCCTTGGGCCCCTATGTGCCTTGGGCCCCTATGTGCCTTGGGCCCCTGTGCCTTGGGCCCCTATGTGCCTTGGGCCCCTATCTCTTGCTTACTCTAGCTGTAGCTACGCCACTGCTCACTGGTTTCACTAAGCAGCTGTCTGACGTTAGAGATAGCAAGTTTTTTTAAATACCTGTTCTCACCCCCTCCCCCGCCCCCTCCGTCCCCATCAATACCTGTTCTCACCCCCTCCCCCGCCCCCACCTGTCCCCATCAGCTCACCAAAACGTAAACACTTGATGTTATTTCTCCAAAAATAGACACTGCTTTCGGATTATATGTATCCTGTAGTTCTTTCAAAACAAAAAATTTCTCCGGGTGAGGGGCTAGGGTGGTTGTTGATCTTGAAAGTTTCGAGGGGGAGGGGACTGAAATTTTCGGATGGACAGAGATCAACGACAGTGAACATGGAAGAGACTACAATTTGTAGACACGGAAAAATAATTTCGTGACCCTAAAGCACACGCTGGTCACATGGTGTGCAACTAAAAACTCCCATAACAAAAGATTACCCACAAAGAGGCTGGTTTCGTGGTGTAACTCAGGAAATACTTTAATGACATCTTTCCTGTTGGTTCAGCTTTCACTTGATCATAAAATTATTGTTGACACACAGACGAACTATGTTTTTCATTCTATTTTGTTTTTTGGTTTACCTTACAGTTGAACAAGGTTAAATATCTTCTCTAATTACATTTAAAAACATTTAGCAGCAAAGAACTATTTTTTAAAAAATATGGTGGATAATTTTAATTTTTTATTTCATAAAAGTACAATATTGGAAATCCTTTGAATTTTCGTCAGAATTTTGTAAATATTTGGAAGGGTTGTGATGGAATCAGTTCATCCAGGCATCTCTTCGAGGGAGGGGGGGGGGGCCCACCCGAAGAAAGTCCGCCCCCCCCCCACCCGAACGAAATGAAATTTATTTAGAAAATATATACTTTTGACAGTTTTCCGCCCCCCCCCCCCCCGGAAATAGCTGCCCCCCCCCCCCCCCCCCGAAAATTTCAAGTGCACCCCCGTAGAAAAGTCTGGAAGAAACACAGGATGGAATCTTAATACATTTTATTGCAGAAGGCTTGTCTGGTGTTTTGTGACGATGATAAAAAGTTCGTTTGAGTGTAAATATGTAGTTAAGCTGTTTAAATAAAAAATTATTAAAAATTAGGCCTATTTTATTTATTTTATTTTAATTATTATTTAATTTATTTCATTTTTATTAAATTTCCATCGCTAGGCAGAGGTGTAGGGGAAGCTACCGTTAAAATTATTTCTTTCAAAAAAGTTATCAACAGAGTTGTCTCCCAGACTTTCAGCGTAGTACGTGTAACGGTGTATAGGGCAGAATAGAGTAAAAAAAAATGTCTAATGTGAGAACTCGTGTTTAGGGGTGGATTCAGATTCAACAACTCTCCTGTCTGGATTCAGTTCCGTATATATGAATAGGACCTACACCATTTAAATAAGCTCTCAATGTCCTACTACCGGACCGTATAAACGGTGTTTCTTCCAGGCTTTTTTCTCCGGGGGGTTGGTAAATTTTCCGGGGGGGGGGGGGGGGGAGGAAACTGGTAGAGATGTTTAGAAGAAACACTGGTGTAAACTCGTAATTCGGAGCTAGTTCTCAGTATCTAAGTAGTTCCACCTACCCAGAGGCGTAGCGAGTGGGGGGGGGGGGGGGGGCGGGGGTGCGGACCGCACCGGGTGACACCATTTAGGGGGGTGACACCAAGGCAAAAAATAACAAAATATATAGAGAAAAACTTGAGGGGGCGGGCTGCAAATCGAAAGTTCGAGGGGGGGTGCAAATTGAAAATTTGAAAGTTTGTCCCCGGGAAGGGCCGCTACGCCTCTGGGGGGGGGGGGGGGGGGTGACACCATTAAGTGCCGCACCGGGTGACACCCGACCTCGCTACGCCACTGCACCTACCCCTCTTACACAACACTAGTTCAGGGCTGACAATCTGAAGCTATTGGACACAAACATGTAATGATTTGTTTCAGTTCTTTTTCAGTTTTTCTTTCGAGGAAACAAGAGAAAATGTGCGTAGGCCCATATTATCTTAACGTTAACAATGCAATGATTTATGTGTCTGTAGTTAGAAAAAACTATTACCAGTAGATCTTAACATTTATAACAAATGTGATTTCTACGATGCCCCGATCAATTGATATGTGATAAAATATTTCATTCATTTTCAATAGCTAAAACTTCTTTTGAAATAGACTTTTATTTTACTTGAAAAACATTTTTTTCACACTTGAGTAGTCAGAATAGAAGGTCTCATTAATATTATGTACCCCCCCCCCCCTCCCCTTCCATTCAAACATATGGGGAAAAAATGAGTTAAAAGAATTCTCGTATAATCTGAGATAGAATCATACATTTTAATTTTTTTTTTAAATATTGTAAGTTCACTTTAATTTGTCGTGTCGATAGATCTAGATCTACTAGATTTGACCAAATTTTAATTAATTTAAAAAGAGTCTTAATTAAATGCCCATATATTTCTGCGGTTTTCTGTACACGGCGACGTTTAGACTACTCTTATTTAGTTCCCCATAGAAACGACGTCTGCCAGCCATCGATGAAACTAGCTTGTGGTCGTGGGCTGATTCGTTCCGAGTAGGCCTATTAAACTTTCACCTCGAGAAAGTATGTGACAGCACACTAATTATTAATATTTAATAATGAGGCTATGTTTATAATTTGTCGTTGTATAACTCTAGTTTTTAATAGGCCTATTTTTTTCAATAACATTAACAACGTCTAATACTCTAAGACCTAAGACGACAGAAGTTCTGTTCTAGACTAGTTCTAGTTGACTAGTTTTCAGGTATGACAGCAGAAGTCGGTCGGTATTTCAGAGCTCACAGTAAAAATGAGTAGATTCTAGATCTAGGATCTAAATCTAGAATCTAGATCTAGATATGACAACGAGTTGATGAGAATCCTTCCATCATTCATTATTGATGTTGAAATGGATAGGCCTAAGGCCTAAATAATACTAAATATTAAATAAATAATTAAATATCGTTTATTGACAGTGGCTAGGCCTATAAAAATTGAAATCAAAACTATCTAAACTATCTAGTAACTTAAACTTAGGCCCTAGATCTTTCTAGATCTAGAATCTGGTAATCTATCGTTTTGGGTACGTAAAATCGCCCGCGGCTATTAATGTACAAAAACGTTACCTCATTGTCAAGGCTGTAATAGAAGTATATTGTGATATGTTTGTGTCAAATATTATAGATAAATGGATAATAAACCTAAATCAATGGCTAAATATATCAACATAGGCCAGAAATTAACTTTAAACAGCAGTGTCTGCAAGTAAGATTTGCTATATAAACAGCATCCATTTGTAAAATAGAGTGACTTCCCCCTGAATCTTCCGCTATAAGTCTATAAAAATAAAACTTTAACAAGATGGCTGCTATAGTAAATGAGCAGGGTTGCATCTATTGGAAACATCGCTAGTGTTCATTTATTACTGAAAAGTTTTAATTCAATTGTTTAAAAACAGGTACATAAATGAAACAAGGAAACATTTTTGTATTTTTCAAAACATAAATCCTCCTAAAAATGTGAAATAATTATTAAAATGTAAGGAGTCACCTGTTTTTCACATTACTAGTTGCGGGCGATTTTACGTACCTAAAATGATAGATTACCTAGAATCTATATCTAGACTACTTAAGTTTAATTAAGCTTGAAATTTATTTTTAATATTTAAATTTAACCATCTAGAATCTTGAAGCTAGATATATGTTATCAATTTTTATCCATATTATTAGTAATATCATAATGAAAAAAACAACTCCCATCCCCAATCTGTTATTAGGGTCAATTTCGGTCAATATTTTCAACAACATACTTACACAAATGTGTCACTGAAGTATAAGCTGATTTATAAGTATATAAAACTGTACAAAATATACCAGTTTTTATAATTATCCTTGAAAAAAAAAAACAGCCGCCCTCTTATTGAAAATGGTCAAACATTACTATACTTCAGGTTTTTCGAAACACTGGGGTTGAAAAATATAACAGAGTTAAATATATAGAAAACATTTTTAGTAAAATTTTTAGTACTAGGATAGTTGCAACATTTAATTATAGTTGAATAATATTTTAACTTATTTAAGCATTAATTAAAAGTTAATACCTGTCTAAGACTTAATTTAAATAAGGCTAGGTGAACCAGGTGTTAAAGAACATTAAATAAAATATTAGAATTTTATTAGAATTGGTAATGAACGGAATGCATAACTTGAACTGGTCCATAAACCAATTCAAAAGATAGATGTAGTTTCTATAAAGCTATTTATTCTAAGATGCGTTAAACATAATTAAAAATTGAGATCTAGAATCTAGGAGTGGTGATCTGATTTCACTGATTACTCTATTTACACTGTTGTCAAATATAATATACACAGTTTTTATAAAAATGCTAGAAACTAGATACAAACTCACTCAAAAAATATTGTAAGTTTATACTTAAATCTAATATTAAGCATATTATTGACTTAAGTATTAAAAAAAAAATAATCTTAAAACACGTCAGTCATATTGCATGGTAAGCCACTCAGTTTTCTTATCAATGAGACAAATTTTAAATACTTGCATCATTTTCTGCAGCATAAAATATTGTCAAAATTAATTCCTCAAATTTATTGCCCATTAGATGTTTCAGGTTAAGTAGGCCAGATTGTTAACTTTGTTAGGGTTTGATGTTTCAGGTTAAGTAGGCCAGATTGTTAACTTTGTTAGGGTTGATGTTTCAGGTTAAGTAGGCCAGATTGTGTTAGGGTTGATGTTTCAGGTTGAGTATGCCACATCTGTGGCTAAGACCAAACTATAAGGACAGCTATGATAAAAACAAAAATGTGATGAACATATAGTGGCTGCTAAAAAAAACCTGAGTTACACATACAAATAGCTGCCACTGTATCTAAAGTCGGATACACAGATGAATTCTCCAGAAATCTAACAATGGGTGTATAAAAATGAAAATAGCAGAACAAGAGTGTAAGGCAGATCCATGCAGTTTCACCTGACCCATGGGTCAGCTGTCCAGCTGACAGAAGGGCAGACAGTAGCTTCCAGGAAACTTGATACATTCTGTGATGGCATTGTCTTCTCTGACCAGCCTGTCAGGGTCAACCAGAAGGTTTGTGTTGAACTGGGCTGTACTACAGCTTGGAGTGGTGCCATCAGGGTGGGGCTCACCTCGGTCAACCCTGCCCAGCTGACCGCCAGCAAGCTTCCAAGGTTTGCATACCCCGACCTCACCCAAACAGAGGGCTACTGGGTCAGGGTTATCAATGAGACCTTAACTAGCCCTGGTTGCCGTTTGATGTTCTATACCAATCCACAAGGTCAGCTCCAGCTGTTTGTTAATGGTCAGCATAAGGGGACGCTGCTTGCTGGACTGCCTGTGCACCAGAGTTTATGGCTCCTGCTGGACATCTATGGCAACACAACCTCGGCTAGACTTGTACAGCCTGGTGAGTCACATGCTTTTCTTCAATGTACTGCTCTCATTTTTCACATATTCTGCAGGTAATCTTAAACTTTCTTATGTTTAGCACTGCAGCCATTCTTTAAAAGCTAATGAAAATCACTCATTTAAATCCCATAAATCACTGACAATGATGGAAATATAGTTTTCATGTTACAAGGAAATATCTGCAGAAAAATTTATTTCAGAAAAGTGTAACTGCTTACCTGTTGATTTTTTCCCCTAAAATTTTGTTAATTTCCCATATACAATTTTTATACACAAAGAAATAATTTCCTATTCAAATTTGATGTTCTAGTAAAAATAATTATTATCTTCTGTCTAATTTCTGAGACAAACTTGCTCCACACATCTCCACAACCAACACCACTCCTTACAAACTATTTATATAATGCAGATTGTGAATCCCATTATTTGCTTTATTTAAGTTTATAAATTACAATGGTTATTTTGAGTTGAATTTTTTCAAGTTAAATATAAAACTAGTTTGTCTTAAAGTTGCCTGGCTCTGAGTCATTTATGACATAGAAGGTGAAAGTGATTTAATAAGTGGTTAATAGAAATAAGTACATCCACCAACATGTAGTCCATCCACCAACATGTGGTCCATCCACCAACATGTGGTACATCCACCAACATGTAGTACATCCACCAACATGTAGTACATCCACCAACATGTGGTCCATCCACCAACATGTAGTCCATCCACCAACATGTAGTCCATCCACCAACATGTGGTACATCCACCAACATGTAGTACATCCACCAACATGTAGTACATCCACCAACATGTAGTACATCCACCAACATGTGGTACATCCACCAACATGTGGTACATCCACCAACATGTAGTACATCCACCAACATGTAGTACATCCACCAACATGTAGTACATCCACCAACATGTAGTACATCCACCAACATGTAGTACATCCACCAACATGTAGTACATCCACCAACATGTAGTACATCCACCAACATGTAGTACATCCACCAACATGTGGTCCATCCACCAACATGTAGTACATCCACCAACATGTAGTACATCCACCAACATGTAGTACATCCACCAACATGTGGTCCATCCACCAACATGTAGTACATCCACCAACATGTGGTACATCCACCAACATGTGGTCCATCCACCAACATGTGGTCCATCCACCAACATGTAGTACATCCACCAACATGTAGTACATCCACCAACATGTAGTACATCCACCAACATGTAGTACATCCACCAACATGTAGTACATCCACCAACATGTAGTACATCCACCAACATGTAGTACATCCACCAACATGTAGTACATCCACCAACATGTAGTACATCCACCAACATGTGGTCCATCCACCAACATGTAGTACATCCACCAACATGTAGTACATCCACCAACATGTGGTACATCCACCAACATGTAGTACATCCACCAACATGTGGTCCATCCACCAACATGTGGTACATCCACCAACACATACATTTTGGTGCTGTGTAGCTGGGACTTTCAGCCATGATTTAAAAGATTACTGCCAATTAAACTTCAAATTGTTTTAGTCTTTAAATAGGAATTACTGTTTTTGGAATCCTGTCACCTATTTTTGTTATAAAATCAATTATTTGTCTATTCTAATTACCTGGTAACCAAACTTCATTAGATTACAGCCAGCTTGTAAAGTGTGCATATTCATCGTTTGTGTTAAAATAAATTGAGACAAAAATAATGATCAAGAACAGACTGTGTATGACGAGCCCATAATATAGTATTGACTAGGTATGATGAAGACTGCATTAAACGTATTGCAATGAACAAATTCTGCTGGCTGTTATATTTGTGAAGCATCAACATGGTGGTGTGTGTTAGAGAAATCAATATTCATTTGGTCTCGGCCTAGCTTTGTTAAATGTCATTTCAATTATCTATTTTCTCTATTTCCCTTGGTGTTTTTGTTGGGCAGACCAACACATACTTTAAAATGATAATTTGATTTGAAAGCGTTTCCATTTTAGTCCTGCTAGCTTGTTGTTGTTGTTGAGCATAGGGAGGTGGGGGAAATTGCTGCTGTGGTAAATCAATATTAGTTTTTATCATATGATCATCATGTTGTCATGTGGGCACTAGAGCTGTCAGAACATAACTTGACACATTCCCTGATCATCAGCTGGTTCACAGTGTTGTCATGTGAGAACTAGAGCTGTCAGAACATAACTTGACACATTCCCTGATCATCAGCTGGCTCACAGTGTTGTCATGTGAGAACTAGAGCTGTCAGAACATAACTTGACACATTCCCTGATCATCAGCTGGTTCACAGTGTTGTCATGTGAGAACTAGAGCTGTCAGAACATAACTTGACACATTCCCTGATCATCAGCTGGCTCACAGTGTTGTCATGTGGGCACTAGAGCTGTCAGAACATAACTTAACACATTCCCTGATCATCTGCTGGTTCACAGTGCAGTGTTGTCATGTGGGAACTAGAGCTGTCAGAACATAACTTGACACATTCCCAGAGCACAGCCAAAGCTAGGGGCAGCAGTTGACTCTAGGTGGGCGGCACCAAACAGGATAGAAAAACAAATTAAAAGCTCATTTTGAGCTGCTTTACTGAATGCGCTACACACATATATTTATTTTAAGTAATTATTTATTTATTGACAAAATATTTAGAAGAATTATTTTTCATACGTTTTTATTAAAAACAATTGAAAAAGCATCATGGCTTGGATTAATACTAGAATCAATATTTTAGTTTATTTTATGTGATGTAAATATATAAATGTGGCAGCTGAATAGCGTTCTGCTGTATAAAATGCAGTTTTGTCCTTGTTTTCACCAAAAACTTTCTATAAAATACAAAGTCAACTATACAGAAAAGTACAGGAAGTAAAACAACTAAAACTGTCTGCTCTAGCAATAACATAGATGTACAATTAGAAACTTGGATTGCTCTAGCAATAGCATGACATAGATGTACAATTAGAAACTTGGATTGCTCTAGCAATAGCATGACATAGATGTACAATTAGAAACTTGGATTGCTATAGCAATAGCATGACATAGATTTACAATTAGAAACTTGGATTGCTCTAGAAATAGCATGACATAGATGTATAATTAGAAAGTTGGATTCTGCAAAACAACAATTTAAAAGATCAGATGTTGGGAGTGTTATTACAGTATGGAAGGTGGGCCGGCCAAAAACTAGGAGTGTCAATATGGTCTTAAAGAATTAATGTCTGGTAAAAAGTACCCTGACCTACCGTTTCCGTAATGTAAAGGGCTATATTTAAATGGGGGAGGGGGCAAAATTGATAATTCACCCCGGGCATTGTAATGGGTCATATGCCTTTGTTTCAATGGTCCTATTAAACTTTGCAAAGGCAGGAAGGTCTACAAAAGTTTAGGTCAGCTAACGATTGTTTTAGTGCTTGGTCTATTGAGCTCACTGCTATCGTTTAAAGTAACCCAGACCAAACAGACATACCAGCTCATGATTTAGACAGGTCAGCTTGTTAAAGTAACCCAGACCAAAGAGACATACCAGCTCATGATTTAGACACATCAGCTTGTTAAAGTAACCCAGACCAAACAGACATACCAGCTCATGATTTAGACACATCAGCTTGTTAAAGTAACCCAGACCAAAGAGACATGCCAGCTCATAATTTAGACAGGTCAGCTTGTTAAAGTAACCCAGACCAAACAGACATACCAGCTCATGATTTAGACAGGTCAGCTTGTGGGAACAAAGAAAGTTTATCCTGCCTGAAATGAGAAAAGTAGACTTGATAGATTTCATTGATTGGTGCTCAGGGATTGATTGTTTCATTATACAACTTGACAATGCTTTGGAAAAATCAATGCTTCAAGCTTATTGTTTTCATTGAAAACATGTTATTGAGATAACATATTACAATTGTTACTGCAGGTAAAACTTGGGCAGAAGAGAAAGTTAGTCTTAGCAACTGTAGGGCCTCTTTTAACTTAATGCTAGGCTTCTGTTCAGGGACATGAGGACAAGAATTCTGGTTACATTTCATACATGTTGTCTAGGTCATGTCTCCCAGTGAAAAGGTTGTCATTCTGTTAGGGTGCCATAAACCTATCTGTCCATTATTGAACTGTTTGGTCTCAGTATTTTGTCCTAGTACTGTGGTCAACAGTGTGATGTTATTTACAGATGATGTCCCTCATGAAATTATGGCCAGGGGTGTGCAGGCAGTACAGGCCTATGAGCACGCATGTGCTGCAGGTACACAACCTGTCCATCGCACCCGGCTGATGCTGGTTGGTCAGGAGAGGGTGGGGAAGACAAGTCTCAAGAGGGCACTGACTGGACAAAGGTCAGCCAGGTTATCTTACAAAAAGTTCTTGTGTATCTGATGTTTGTTGTTTTATTGTTTACATGTGTTCTTTGACTCTGATTGCCTGATGCATGTATGTTGACATGTGCTGGACTGGTTTATGTTACTCTGGTCTGACTTAGCCACAACGTAGAGGAAGAAAGTACAGATGGGATAGACTTGTCAGCCTCCTGCTCTTTCCACCTCAACAACCACAGTGCTTGGCAGCTTGCTATCAAAGGTGATGAGACAGTACGCAGAGAGAACATACAGGACTCTGTTGATCTAGATCTTCTAGGTACTTGTTTCATTCTGCTCCATTTAATATATATTGGACTCCATATATCTAGAGCTTAAGTTGTTTCATTCTGCTCCATTTAATATATATTGGACTCCATATATCTAGAGCTTAAGTTGTTTCATTCTGCTCCATTTAATATATATTGGACTCCATATATCTAGAGCTTAAGTTGTTTCATTCTGCTCCATTTAATATTTATTGGACCCCATTGATCTAGAGCTTTACTTGTTTCATTCTGCTCCATTTAATATATATTGGACTCCATATATCTAGAGCTTAAGTTGTTTCATTCTGCTCCATTTAATATATATTGGACTCCATATATCTAGAGCTTAAGTTGTTTCATTCTGCTCCATTTAATATATATTGGACTCCATATATCTAGAGCTTAAGTTGTTTCATTCTGCTCCATTTAATATTTATTGGACCCCATTGATCTAGAGCTTTACTTGTTTCATTCTGCTCCATTAGGTTTCTTCACCTCATTTTTGTTTACTGAAGAGCTATGTTGTCACACTTATAGACGGGTAGATGATGTATATTGACACACTTATAGATGGGTAGATGATGTATACTGACACACTTATAGATGGGTAGATGATGTATACTGACACACTTATAGATGGGTAGATGATGTATACTGACACACTTATAGATGGGTAGATGATGTATACTGACACACTTATAGATGGGTAGATGATGTATACTGACACACTTATATATGGGTAGATGATGTATACTGACACACTTATAGATGGGTAGATGATGTATACTGACACACTTATAGATGGTTGGATGATGTATACTGACACACTTATAGATGGGTAGATGATGTATACTGACACACTTATAGATGGGTAGATGATGTATACTGACACACTTATAGATGGGTAGATGATGTATACTGACACAATTATAGATGGTTGGATGATGTATACTGTCACACTTATAGATGGTTGGATGATGTATATTGTCACACTTATAGATGGGTAGATGATGTATATTGACACACTTATGGGTAGATGATGTATACTGACACTTATAGATGGGTAGATGATGTATATTGACACACTTATGGGTAGATGATGGATACTGACACACTTATGGGTAGATGATGGATACTGACACACTTATGGGTAGATGATGTATACTGACACTTATAGATGGGTAGATGATGTATATTGACACACTTATGGGTAGATGATGGATACTGACACACTTATAGATGGGTAGATGATGTATACTGACACACTTATATATGGGTAGATGATGTATACTGTCACACTTATATATGGGTGGGTCATGTATACTGTCACACTTTGTCTTGTAGATGGCACTGATGGTGTGGATGATGAATACAGTAAAGCAATAGCTGCCAACATAGCACAAGAACTTCTAGCTCTGAGGATAAAAGATGGGGAGGCACAGGCACTCATCAAAGACAGTCTTATCAAAAAGGTAATAGAGACAAAATTATGATGTGTGTAAAAATAGCCTGACCACCACTGACCACATGTACACAGCCTGACCTCCACTGACCACATGTACACAGCCTGACCTCCACTGACCATATGTAAACAGCATGACCACCACTGACCACATGTACACAGCCTGACCTCCACTGACCACATGTACACAGCCTGACCACCACTGACCACATGTACACAGCCTGACCTCCACTGACCACATGTACACAGCCTGACCACCACTGACCACAAGTACACAGCCTGACCACCACTGACCACATGTACACAGCCTGACCTCCACTGACCACATGTTCATAGCCTGACCACCACTGACCACATGTACACAGCATGACCTCCACTGACCACATGTACACAGCCTAACCTCCACTGACCACATGTACACAGCCTGACCACCACTGACCACATGTACCTAGCCTGACCTCCACTGACCACATGTACACAGCCTGACCACCACTGACCACATGTACACAGCCTGACCTCCACTGAACACATGTACCTAGCCTGACCACCACTGACCACATGTACATAGTTGGACCACCACTGACCACATGTACCTAGCCTGACCTCCACTGACCACATGTACACAGCCTGACCACCACTGACCACATGTACACAGCCTGACCTCCACTGACCACATGTACACAGTCTGACCACCACTGACCACATGTACATAGTTGGACTATGCTTTACCATGATTTCCTTCAGGACGTGCCAGCAGCCTCATCCTTCTCAGCATTGGATGCCCTGAACAAGGACATAGTTCTAGTGTCAGAAGCTGCCCAACACACCAGCACACATGAAGGGATCCCTGACAAAATTGTTTCTTTGGTCCAGGAGATCATTGAGGACAAAGAGAAGGGTCAAGGTCACAAGAGCTTACATTCAAAAAGTCCAAAGGTCACATTAAATATCTGGGATTTTGCTGGACATTCTGTATATTACACTACCCACCAGGTGAGTTGTTTACTGGACATTCTGTACTACCCACCAGGTGAGTTTACTGGACATTCTGTACTACCCACCAGGTGAGTTGTTTACTGGACATTCTGTACTACCCACCTGGTGAGTTGTTTACTGGACATTCTGTACTACCCACCTGGTGAGTTTACTGGACATTCTGTACTACCCACCAGGTGAGTTGTTTACTGGACATTCTGTACTACCCACCAGGTGAGTTGTTTACTGGACATTCTGTACTACCCACCAGGTGAGTTGTTTACTGGACATTCTGTACTACCCACCAGGTGAGTTGTTTACTGGACATTCTGTACTACCCACCTGGTGAGTTGTTGGCTGGACATTCTGTACTACCCACCTGGTGAGTTGTTTACTGGACATTCTGTACTACCCACCAGGTGAGTTGTTTACTGGACATTCTGTACTACCCACCTGGTGAGTTGTTTACTGGACATTCTGTACTACCCACCTGGTGAGTTGTTGGCTGGACATTCTGTACTACCCACCTGGTGAGTTGTTTACTGGACATTCTGTACTACCCACCAGGTGAGTTGTTTACTGGACATTCTGTACTACCCACCTGGTGAGTTGTTTACTGGACATTCTGTACTACCCACCAGGTGAGTTGTTTACTGGACATTCTGTACTACCCACCTGGTGAGTTGTTTACTGGACATTCTGTACTACCCACCAGGTGAGTTTACTGGACATTCTGTACTACCCACCAGGTGAGTTGTTTACTGGACATTCTGTACTACCCACCAGGTGAGTTGTTTACTGGACATTCTGTACTACCCACCTGGTGAGTTGTTTACTGGACATTCTGTACTACCCACCAGGTGAGTTGTTTACTGGACATTCTGTACTACCCACCAGGTGAGTTTACTGGACATTCTGTACTACCCACCAGGTGAGTTGTTTACTAGACATTCTGTACTACCCACCAGGTGAGTTGTTTACTGGACATTCTGTACTACCCACCAGGTGAGTTTACTGGACATTCTGTACTAACCACCTGGTGAGTTTACTGGACATTCTGTACTACCCACCAGGTGAGTTGTTTACTGGACATTCTGTACTACCCACCTGGTGAGTTGTTTACTGGACATTCTGTACTACCCACCAGATGAGTTATTTACTGGACATTCTGTACTACCCACCAGGTGAGTTTACTGGACATTCTGTACTACCCACCAGGTGAGTTGTTTACTGGACATTCTGTACTACCCACCAGGTGAGTTGTTTACTGGACATTCTGTACTACCCACCAGGTGAGTTTACTGGACATTCTGTACTACCCACCTGGTGAGTTTACTGGACATTCTGTACTACCCACCAGGTGAGTTGTTTACTGGACATTCTGTACTACCCACCAGGTGAGTTGTTTACTGGACATTCTGTACTACCCACCTGGTGAGTTGTTGGCTGGACATTCTGTACTACCCACCAGATGAGTTGTTTACTGGACATTCTGTACTACCCACCAGGTGAGTTGTTTACTGGACATTCTGTACTACCCACCAGATGAGTTGTTTACTGGACATTCTGTACTACCCACCTGGTGAGGTGTTTACTGGACATTCTGTACTACCCACCTGGTGAGTTGTTTACTGGACATTCTGTACTACCCATCTGGTGAGTTGTTTACTGGACATTCTGTACTACCCACCAGGTGAGTTTACTGGACATTCTGTACTACCCACCAGGTGAGTTGTTTACTGGAATTCTGTACTACCCACCAGGTGAGTTGTTTACTGGACATTCTGTACTACCCACCAGGTGAGTTGTTTACTGGACATTCTGTACTACCCACCTGGTGAGTTGTTGGCTGGACATTCTGTACTACCCACCAGGTGAGTTGTTTACTGAACATTCTGTACTACCCACCAGGTGAGTTGTTTACTGGACATTCTGTACTACCCACCAGATGAGTTGTTTACTGGACATTCTGTACTACCCACCTGGTGAGGTGTTTACTGGACATTCTGTACTACCCACCTGGTGAGTTGTTTACTGGACATTCTGTACTACCCATCTGGTGAGTTGTTTACTGGACATTCTGTACTACCCACCAGGTGAGTTTACTGGACATTCTGTACTACCCACCAGGTGAGTTGTTTACTGGACATTCTGTACTACCCACCAGGTGAGTTGTTTACTGGACATTCTGTACTACCCACCTGGTGAGTTTACTGGACATTCTGTACTACCCACCAGGTGAGTTGTTTACTGGACATTCTGTACTACCCACCAGGTGAGTTTACTGGACATTCTGTACTACCCACCAGGTGAGTTGTTTACTGGACATTCTGTACTACCCACCAGATGAGTTGTTTACTGGACATTCTGTACTACCCACCAGATGAGTTGTTTACTGGACATTCTGTACTACCCACCAGGTGAGTTGTTTACTGGACATTCTGTAATACCCACCAGGTGAGTTGTTTACTGGACATTCTGTACTACCCACCAGGTGAGTTGTTTACTGGACATTCTGTACTACCCACCTGGTGAGTTGTTTACTGGACATTCTGTACTACCCACCAGGTGAGTTGTTTACTGGACATTCTGTACTACCCACCAGGTGAGTTGTTTACTGGACATTCTGTACTACCCACCAGGTGAGTTGTTTACTGGACATTCTGTACTACCCACCAGGTGAGTTTACTGGACATTCTGTACTACCCACCAGGTGAGTTGTTTACTGGACATTCTGTACTACCCACCTGGTGAGTTGTTGGCTGGACATTCTGTACTACCCACCAGGTGAGTTGTTTACTGGACATTCTGTACTACCCACCAGGTGAGTTGTTTACTGGACATTCTGTACTACCCACCAGGTGAGTTGTTTACTGGACATTCTGTACTACCCACCAGGTGAGTTTACTGGACATTCTGTACTACCCACCAGGTGAGTTGTTTACTGGACATTCTGTACTACCCACCAGGTGAGTTTACTGGACATTCTGTACTACCCACCAGGTGAGTTGTTTACTGGACATTCTGTACTACCCACCAGGTGAGTTGTTTACTGGACATTCTGTACTACCCACCTGGTGAGTTGTTTACTGGACATTCTGTACTACCCACCAGGTGAGTTGTTTACTGGACATTCTGTACTACCCACCAGGTGAGTTGTTTACTGGACATTCTGTACTACCCACCTGGTGAGTTGTTTACTGGACATTCTGTACTACCCACCTGGTGAGTTGTTGGCTGGACATTCTGTACTACCCACCTGGTGAGTTGTTTACTGGACATTCTGTACTACCCACCAGGTGAGTTGTTTACTGGACATTCTGTACTACCCACCTGGTGAGTTGTTTACTGGACATTCTGTACTACCCACCAGGTGAGTTGTTTACTGGACATTCTGTACTACCCACCTGGTGAGTTGTTTACTGGACATTCTGTACTACCCACCAGGTGAGTTTACTGGACATTCTGTACTACCCACCAGGTGAGTTGTTTACTGGACATTCTGTACTACCCACCAGGTGAGTTGTTTACTGGACATTCTGTACTACCCACCTGGTGAGTTGTTTACTGGACATTCTGTACTACCCACCAGGTGAGTTGTTTACTGGACATTCTGTACTACCCACCAGGTGAGTTTACTGGACATTCTGTACTACCCACCAGGTGAGTTGTTTACTAGACATTCTGTACTACCCACCAGGTGAGTTGTTTACTGGACATTCTGTACTACCCACCAGGTGAGTTTACTGGACATTCTGTACTAACCACCTGGTGAGTTTACTGGACATTCTGTACTACCCACCAGGTGAGTTGTTTACTGGACATTCTGTACTACCCACCTGGTGAGTTGTTTACTGGACATTCTGTACTACCCACCAGATGAGTTATTTACTGGACATTCTGTACTACCCACCAGGTGAGTTTACTGGACATTCTGTACTACCCACCAGGTGAGTTGTTTACTGGACATTCTGTACTACCCACCAGGTGAGTTGTTTACTGGACATTCTGTACTACCCACCAGGTGAGTTTACTGGACATTCTGTACTACCCACCTGGTGAGTTTACTGGACATTCTGTACTACCCACCAGGTGAGTTGTTTACTGGACATTCTGTACTACCCACCAGGTGAGTTGTTTACTGGACATTCTGTACTACCCACCTGGTGAGTTGTTGGCTGGACATTCTGTACTACCCACCAGGTGAGTTGTTTACTGGACATTCTGTACTACCCACCAGGTGAGTTGTTTACTGGACATTCTGTACTACCCACCAGATGAGTTGTTTACTGGACATTCTGTACTACCCACCTGGTGAGGTGTTTACTGGACATTCTGTACTACCCACCTGGTGAGTTGTTTACTGGACATTCTGTACTACCCATCTGGTGAGTTGTTTACTGGACATTCTGTACTACCCACCAGGTGAGTTTACTGGACATTCTGTACTACCCACCAGGTGAGTTGTTTACTGGAATTCTGTACTACCCACCAGGTGAGTTGTTTACTGGACATTCTGTACTACCCACCAGGTGAGTTGTTTACTGGACATTCTGTACTACCCACCTGGTGAGTTGTTGGCTGGACATTCTGTACTACCCACCAGGTGAGTTGTTTACTGGACATTCTGTACTACCCACCAGGTGAGTTGTTTACTGGACATTCTGTACTACCCACCAGATGAGTTGTTTACTGGACATTCTGTACTACCCACCTGGTGAGGTGTTTACTGGACATTCTGTACTACCCACCTGGTGAGTTGTTTACTGGACATTCTGTACTACCCATCTGGTGAGTTGTTTACTGGACATTCTGTACTACCCACCAGGTGAGTTTACTGGACATTCTGTACTACCCACCAGGTGAGTTGTTTACTGGAATTCTGTACTACCCACCAGGTGAGTTGTTTACTGGACATTCTGTACTACCCACCTGGTGAGTTTACTGGACATTCTGTACTACCCACCAGGTGAGTTGTTTACTGGACATTCTGTACTACCCACCAGGTGAGTTTACTGGACATTCTGTACTACCCACCAGGTGAGTTGTTTACTGGACATTCTGTACTACCCACCAGATGAGTTGTTTACTGGACATTCTGTACTACCCACCAGATGAGTTGTTTACTGGACATTCTGTACTACCCACCAGGTGAGTTGTTTACTGGACATTCTGTAATACCCACCAGGTGAGTTGTTTACTGGACATTCTGTACTACCCACCAGGTGAGTTGTTTACTGGACATTCTGTACTACCCACCTGGTGAGTTGTTTACTGGACATTCTGTACTACCCACCAGGTGAGTTGTTTACTGGACATTCTGTACTACCCACCAGGTGAGTTGTTTACTGGACATTCTGTACTACCCACCAGGTGAGTTGTTTACTGGACATTCTGTACTACCCACCAGGTGAGTTTACTGGACATTCTGTACTACCCACCAGGTGAGTTGTTTACTGGACATTCTGTACTACCCACCTGGTGAGTTGTTGGCTGGACATTCTGTACTACCCACCAGGTGAGTTGTTTACTGGACATTCTGTACTACCCACCAGGTGAGTTGTTTACTGGACATTCTGTACTACCCACCAGGTGAGTTGTTTACTGGACATTCTGTACTACCCACCAGGTGAGTTTACTGGACATTCTGTACTACCCACCAGGTGAGTTGTTTACTGGACATTCTGTACTACCCACCAGGTGAGTTTACTGGACATTCTGTACTACCCACCAGGTGAGTTGTTTACTGGACATTCTGTACTACCCACCAGGTGAGTTGTTTACTGGACATTCTGTACTACCCACCTGGTGAGTTGTTTACTGGACATTCTGTACTACCCACCAGGTGAGTTGTTTACTGGACATTCTGTACTACCCACCTGGTGAGTTTACTGGACATTCTGTACTACCCACCAGGTGAGTTGTTTACTGGACATTCTGTACTACCCACCAGGTGAGTTTACTGGACATTCTGTACTACCCACCAGGTGAGTTGTTTACTGGACATTCTGTACTACCCACCAGGTGAGTTGTTTACTGGACATTCTGTACTACCCAGGTACAGGTGACACAGATGAAATCTCTCAGGTAGCTTGACACAGTTACACAAGATGACAGTGTATAATCTCTTCCCCAGGTCTTTCTCACCTCCCGTGCTGTCTATTGCATTGTGTTCAATCTGTGTGATGACGTCAACAAGAAATCCATCAACAACAATGACAAGGTGCTCTCTGTTTACTTTGTTCCATATTATGTCTAGATTGTCCATGGATAACTTGTGTGCAAAATATCTTGCTGTCATGGAAGGTTATGTGTTATTTACAAATGTCAGTGTCGTCTTGCAACTGCACAGCTTAGAGGACTCATTGCATAACAGTAATGTCTGACCTGTCACTACTTGATGTCTGACCTGTCACAACTTGATGTTTGACCTGTCACTACTTGATGTTTGACCTGTCACAACTTGATGTTTGACCTGTCACTACTTGATGTTTGACCTGTCACTACTTGATGTTTGACCTGTCACTACTTGATGTTTGACCTGTCACAACTTGATGTTTGACCTGTCACTACTTGATGTTTGACCTGTCACTACTTGATGTTTGACCTGTCACAACTTGATGTTTGACCTGTCACTACTTGATGTTTGACCTGTCACTACTTGATGTTTGACCTGTCACTACTTGATGTTTGACCTGTCACTATTTGATGTTTGACCTGTCACTACTTGATGTTTGACCTGTCACTACTTGATGTTTGACCTGTCACTACTTGATGATTGACCTGTCACAACTTGATGTTTGACCTGTCACTACTTGATGTTTGACCTGTCACAACTTGATGTTTGACCTGTCACTACTTGATGTCTGACCTGTCACTACTTGATGTTTGACCTGTCACAACTTGATGTTTGACCTGTCACTACTTGATGTTTGACCTGTCACAACTTGATGTTTGACCTGTCACAACTTGATGTTTGACCTGTCACTACTTGATGTTTGACCTGTCACTACTTGATGTTTGACCTGTCACTACTTGATGTTTGACCTGTCACTACTTGATGTTTGACCTGTCACTACTTGATGTTTGACCTGTCACTACTTGATGTTTGACCTGTCACTACTTGATGTTTGACCTGTCACTACTTGATGTCTGACCTGTCACTACTTGATGTTTGACCTGTCACTACTTGATGTTTGACCTGTCACTACTTGATGTTTGACCTGTCACTACTTGATGTTTGACCTGTCACTACTTGATGTTTGACCTGTCACTACTTGATGTTTGACCTGTCACAACTTGATGTTTGACCTGTCACTACTTGATGTTTGACCTGTCACTACTTGATGTTTGACCTGTCACTACTTGATGTTTGACCTGTCACTACTTGATGTTTGACCTGTCACTACTTGATGTCTGACCTGTCACAACTTGATGTTTGACCTGTCACAACTTGATGTTTGACCTGTCACAACTTGATGTTTGACCTGTCACTACTTGATGTTTGACCTGTCACTACTTGATGTCTGACCTTTCACTACTTGATGTTTGACCTGTCACTACTTGATGTTTGACCTGTCACTACTTGATGTTTGACCTGTCACAACTTGATGTTTGACCTGTCACTACTTGATGTTTGACCTGTCACTACTTGATGTTTGACATGTCACTACTTGATGTTTGACCTGTCACAACTTGATGTTTGACCTGTCACAACTTGATGTCTGACCTGTCACAACTTGATGTTTTACCTGTCACTACTTGATGTTTGACCTGTCACTACTTGATGTTTGACCTGTCACTACTTGATGTTTGACCTGTCACTACTTGATGTTTGACCTGTCACTACTTGATGTCATAACCTGTCACAACTTGATGTTTGACCTGTCACTACTTGATGTCATAACCTGTCACAACTTGATGTTTGACCTGTCACTACTTGATGTTTGACCTGTCACTACTTGATGTTTGACCTGTCACTACTTGATGTTTGACATGTCACAACTTGATGTTTGACCTGTCACAACTTGATGTTTGACCTGTCACAACTTGATGTTTGACCTGTCACTACTTGATGTTTGACCTGTCACTACTTGATGTTTAACCTGTCACTACTTGATGTTTGACCTGTCACAACTTGATGTTTGACCTGTCACAACTTGATGTTTGACCTGTCACTACTTGATGTTTGACATGACCAAGTCTAACAAGATATACCAATGTCTCCATCAGATGCGTCCCATGAGCACCCTGGAGTACATGGACTTCTGGATGAGATCCATTCATGCACATGCAGCAGAGAACACCAGGAACAAGCTGGACAACACTGCCCTCTCACCCCCTGTCTTTATTGTAGGCACTCACAGGGACAGTCTACATCCTGACCCCATTCTTAGACTCCAAATGGTCAGTAGCATCCATATTCCTTATCTTTGACTACAACGTGTTTGATGTAACTATGACAGAGATATTCTCCCATCCACATTCTTTATCTTTGACTACAACGTGTTTGATGTAACTATGACAGATATTCTCCCATCCACTTTGTTCATTTTCTTTGTATTTATTTCACTCTTTAGGTTGAAGAGAAATTTTCCCAGATTCAAGAATTTTTAGTGGGCAAGCCTTACAGCCAGCATATAGTGCTGCCATTCTATGCAGTAGAGAACAACACAGAATCTGGGGAGGATGATCAGGTTGGTTGCAGACATACCCACAGTATTGATAAGACCATCGAAAAAAAGAACCACTCTTTTTCTGCACCCTGTAAATTTATATGCAGATTAAACCCTCGTAAAACATTAAGCACTATTAGTATTAAGCTCAATGTAAAAATACACCTGTCTGTCCTCAGGTGTGTCAGTTGCGAGAAGACATAGAGCACATCTGCAGCAGACAGGCCTACATAGGGGAGCAGATGCCAATCAAGTGGCTGAGGTTTGAACAAGAGATCACCACACAGGCAGACCACAGCATACACTTTGCTTCTTACAACCAGGTAAACATCACACTTACAACCAGGTAAACATCACACTTTGCTTCTTACAACCAGGTAAACATCACACCTTGCTTCTTACAACCAGGTAAACATCACACTTTGCTTCATACAACCAGGTAAACATCACACTTACAACCAGGTAAACATCACACCTTGCTTCTTACAACCAGGTAAACATCACACTTTGCTTCATACAACCAGGTAAACATCACACTTACAACCAGGTAAACATCACACTTTGCCTCTTACAACCAGGTAAACATCACACTTTGCTTCTTACAACTAGGTAAACATCACACTTTGCTTCTTACAACCAGGTAAACATCACACTTTGCTTCTTACAACCAGGTAAACATCACACCTTGCTTCTTACAACCAGGTAAACATCACACTTTGCTTCTTACAACCAGGTAAACATCATCACACTTTGCTTCTTACAACCAGGTAAACATCACACTTTGCTTCTTACAACCAGGTAAACATCACACTTTGCTTCTTACAACCAGGTAAACATCATCACACTTTGCTTCTTACAACCAGGTAAACATCACACTTTGCTTCTTACAACCAGGTAAACATCATCACACTTTGCTTCTTACAACCAGGTAAACATCATCACACTTTGCTTCTTACAACCAGGTAAACATCACACTTTGCTTCTTACAACCAGGTAAACATCACACTTTGCTTCTTACAACCAGGTAAACATCATCACACTTTGCTTCTTACAACCAGGTAAACATCACACTCTGCTTCATACAACCAGGTAAACATCATCACACTTTGCTTCTTACAACCAGGTAAACATCTTACTTTGCTTCTTACAACCAGGTAAACATCACAATTTGCTTCTTACAACCAGGTAAACATCACACCTTGCTTCTTACAACCAGGTAAACATCACACTTTGCTTCTTACAACCAGGTAAACATCACACTTTGCTTCTTACAACCAGGTAAACATCACACTTTGCTTCTTACAACCAGGTAAACATCACACTTTGCTTCTTACAACCAGGTAAACATCACACTTTGCTTCTTACAACCAGGTAAACATCATACTTTGCTTCTTACAACCAGGTAAACATCACACTTTGCTTCTTACAACCAGGTAAACATCATCACACTTTGCTTCTTACAACCAGGTAAACATCACACTTTGCTTCTTACAACCAGGTAAACATCATCACACTTTGCTTCTTACAACCAGGTAAACATCTTACTTTGCTTCTTACAACCAGGTAAACATCACACTTTGCTTCTTACAACCAGGTAAACATCACACTTTGCTTCTTACAACCAGGTAAACATCACACTTTGCTTCTTACAACCAGGTAAACATCACACTTTGCTTCTTACAACCAGGTAAACATCACACTTTGCTTCTTACAACCAGGTAAACATCATACTTTGCTTCTTACAACCAGGTAAACATCACACTTTGCTTCTTACAACCAGGTAAACATCATCACACTTTGCTTCTTACAACCAGGTAAACATCACACTTTGCTTCTTACAACCAGGTAAACATCATCACACTTTGCTTCTTACAACCAGGTAAACATCTTACTTTGCTTCTTACAACCAGGTAAACATCACACTTTGCTTCTTACAACCAGGTAAACATCACACTTTGCTTCTTACAACCACTAAACATCAGACTTTGCTTCATACAACCAGGTAAACATCACACTTTGCTTCTTACAACCAGGTAAACATCATCACACTTTGCTTCTTACAACCAGGTAAACATCATCACACTTTGCTTCTAACAACCAGGTAAACATCACACTTTGCTTCTTACAACCAGGTAAACATCACACTTTGCTTCTTACAACCAGGTAAACATCACACTTTGCTTCTTACAACCAGGTAAACATCATCACACTTTGCTTCTTACAACCAGGTAAACATCACACTTTGCTTCTTACAACCAGGTAAACATCATCACACTTTGCTTCTTACAACCAGGTAAACATCTTACTTTGCTTCTTACAACCAGGTAAACATCACAATTTGCTTCTTACAACCAGGTAAACATCACACTTTGCTTCTTACAACCAGGTAAACATCACACTTTGCTTCTTACAACCAGGTAAACATCATCACACTTTGCTTCTTACAACCAGGTAAACATCATCACACTTTGCTTCTTACAACCAGGTAAACATCACACTTTGCTTCTTACAACCAGGTAAACATCACACTTTGCTTCTTACAACCAGGTAAACATCACACTTTGCTTCTTACAACCAGGTAAACATCACACTTTGCTTCTTACAACCAGGTAAACATCACACTTTGCTTCTTACAACCAGGTAAACATCACACTCTGCTTCATACAACCAGGTAAACATCACACTTTGCTTTATACAACCAGGTAAGCATCACACTTTGCTTCTTACAACCAGGTAAACATCACACTTTGCTTCTTACAACCAGGTAAACATCACACCTTGCTTCTTACAACCAGGTAAACATCACACTTTGCTTCTTACAACCAGGTAAACATCACACTTTGCTTCTTACAACCAGGTAAACATCACACTTTGCTTCTTACAACCAGGTAAACATCACACTTTGCTTCTTACAACCAGGTAAACATCATACTTTGCTTCTTACAACCAGGTAAACATCACACTTTGCTTCTTACAACCAGGTAAACATCATCACACTTTGCTTCTTACAACCAGGTAAACATCACACTTTGCTTCTTACAACCAGGTAAACATCATCACACTTTGCTTCTTACAACCAGGTAAACATCTTACTTTGCTTCTTACAACCAGGTAAACATCACAATTTGCTTCTTACAACCAGGTAAACATCACACTTTGCTTCTTACAACCAGGTAAACATCAGACTTTTGCTTCATACAACCAGGTAAACATCACACTTTGCTTCTTACAACCAGGTAAACATCATCACACTTTGCTTCTTACAACCAGGTAAACATCATCACACTTTGCTTCTTACAACCAGGTAAACATCACACTTTGCTTCTTACAACCAGGTAAACATCACACTTTGCTTCTTACAACCAGGTAAACATCACACTTTGCTTCTTACAACCAGGTAAACATCACACTTTGCTTCTTACAACCAGGTAAACATCATCACACTTTGCTTCTTACAACCAGGTAAACATCACACTTTGCTTCTTACAACCAGGTAAACATCATCACACTTTGCTTCTTACAACCAGGTAAACATCTTACTTTGCTTCTTACAACCAGGTAAACATCACAATTTGCTTCTTACAACCAGGTAAACATCACACTTTGCTTCTTACAACCAGGTAAACATCACACTTTGCTTCTTACAACCAGGTAAACATCATCACACTTTGCTTCTTACAACCAGGTAAACATCATCACACTTTGCTTCTTACAACCAGGTAAACATCACACTTTGCTTCTTACAACCAGGTAAACATCACACTTTGCTTCTTACAACCAGGTAAACATCACACTTTGCTTCTTACAACCAGGTAAGCATCACACTTTGCTTCTTACAACCAGGTAAACATCACACTTTGCTTCTTACAACCAGGTAAACATCACACTTTGCTTCTTACAACCAGGTAAACATCACACCTTGCTTCTTACAACCAGGTAAACATCACACCTACACTTGACTTGTCCAGTAACTAAAGTGTTGTTTGTAGGTGTTTGAGATAGCTGTAAACCACAAGATTGACCAGCCCAGTGAAGTCCAGGCACTGCTCAACTTTTACCATGACCTGGGAACTTTGATTTACTATGGGACACATGTGACCACAGATTATGTCCTCAGTAACACAGTTGTACTCAACCCCCAGTGGCTTATCAACATGTTCAAGCAGATTACTGCAACCCACCCTCCTAAAGAGAAGGTAAGTTATGCAACCCACCCTCCTAAAGAGAAGGTAAGTTATGCTGCTCACACTCCTAAGAGAAGGTAAGTTATGCCACCCACCCTCCTAAAGAGAAGGTAAGTTATGCTGCTCACACTCCTAAGAGAAGGTAAGTTATGCCACCCACCCTCCTAAAGAGAAGGTAAGTTATGCTGCTCACACTCCTAAGAGAAGGTAAGTTATGCCACCCACCCTCCTAAAGAGAAGGTAAGTTATGCTGCTCACACTCCTAAGAGAAGGTAAGTTATGCCACCTACCCTTCTAAAGAGAAGGTAAGTTATGCCACCCGCCCTCCTAAAGACAGGGTTCCTGCGGCCTCCTGAAATTCCAGGATGTCCTGGAATTCTCCTGGAATTTCAAAAAACCAGAAAAGTCCTGGAATTCTCCTGGAATTTTAACATTTCTCCTGGAATTTTAACATTTCTCCTGGAATTTTACTCGCATCGATAATTTTAGCGAATATTTTTTCGCGCGTTAGATTTCTAGGTAATCAGATCTGACCGCCCAAGTAAAAATGTTCTGCCTTTTCAATTCTTCGCGTTACAAGGCACACATTTTAAAATATAGACCTAAAGCTGTCTTTAACATGTGGGTTTGGTTTAATTTTTTTTCTCACGTCTTTCTATGTGTGCGGCTCTGTTTAATAGGCCTGACTTTTTTAAAATTGGAAATTTTGAGTAGGCCTAGGCCAAAATCTAGTTTTGCGCAGCTAATTTGAATCTACAGTCCGATAGGCTCTAGATTTACTTTCTATTTTTACATGCGAGTTGTAATACTACCACCCTCCCATCTCAGTTTCTTTCCCACGACAGGGTGGGGGAGGGAGGACCGCTGGTTGGGTACATGAAGTGAACTCTGTGTGACCCGCTAGTGATGTCATCAGCAGTATACTACAGGCCAACTGTAAGCTTAGATGAACTCAAACTGACCCCGCGCAACGGTGTCTAGCTGGAGGAAAAAATACTCTACCGGCAAAAAAAAAACAACTATCTGAAATTCTATTTTTGGCTGAAATATTTTTAATTTTTCAAGTATTAGGGGTCGTCCATAAATGACGTCACACTCGTAGGGAGGGGGGGGGGGGCGTAATTTTGTGACGGTGTGTGATGCGGGGTGGTTCAGATGGGCCGGAAGGGGGGGGGGGGGGGTAAAATCATCAAAAAAAGCGTGACGTTATTTCCAAAATACAGTTTATTTTTAGTAGGACAAATCTAAGCTACTCAGGTTGGTCTACTTGTTCATTAAATGATAAAAAGTTAAAATTACAGTTAGGCTATTTACTGTTGAAGACTCCCATTTAAATCACAATGCCATGTCCATTTTTAAAAGACAGGACATGGTTGCAGCTGTTCTGTTTGTTTACAATTGACATTGTTAGTACCGTTGATGTCATTGGTGAGGGGTTAAGTCACTTGACACTGGGATGTAGCTATGATTGCTAGGCTCAATATGTTTCTCAGTAGCAAACATCTAAATTAATTTATAATTATTTTACTAAGTGAATTTACTCACACTATTTCAGTAATCATTGAATTGAAAATAAAAGTGCAAACATATAATTGATTAACATTTTAAATTAGTTTATTGCTAAAATTGTTTTCTAATATTTTTAAAGTTGTGAAATTTTACTTTTTTTTGGGTGGGGGGGGGGGGGGGATAATAAAGAAGAACTGTTATTTAGTTGTTTAAGAAGTGTCACATTTATATATTTAACTACTCATTGGCATAAGTGGGGGGGAGGGGGGGGCTGATGAAAAGGGATAAAAAAATTTTTTTACAAAAAGCTCATTTTATGCTGAAGTATTGAATCATACACAGTCAAAGTTAAGAAAATAAACTGCTACAAGACTACGCACTGATTCAAATTTTCTCTACCTCAATTGTGTAGTACAAAGATAAAAATTGTTACAGGATAGTGACTGGTAAAATGTGCCACCACATTTTCCAAAGGGGGGGGGGGGAGAGGAGATAGCAATTTTATGAATAACAATTTATAAATGGGAGGGGTGGGGTGCAAAATTGAATCTACTTTAACTAAACTAAATGGTTTAGAAACAGTTACTTTTAAAAATTACAAATGCTATGTTACATAGCATTTTATAAAGACCACTTCCTAATTAAGGAATGTCAAACTCCCATCCATTCAGCGCGGGGTTAAGTCGTTGTTGCTTTTTAATAGGTTAAATTATGTCCTGGAATTTTGGTTTTTCTCCTGGAAAACTCCTGGAATTCTCCTGGAATTTCAAGTTCACTTTGGTGTAGGAACCCTGTAAAGATAAGATAAATTACTGCCATTCACCCTCCCATTGACTGAAAGACGTTCCAGAATTATGGCCCAAGATAAACATTATTTTTACATCTTTGAATGATACAAACACTTTTGTTTTTTAGTGGAACTTGATGGCTGACAAATGGAATCTGTTGGTAAACTATGGTGTTCTAGAGGACAGTCTGTTGTCCAGCATTTGGCCAGAAGCAACTGACCATCATGTGTTTCTGCTGGGGTTGATGTCCAAGTTTGATTTGATTTGTCCCAGATTGCCTCCATCTGGTCAGGTGTGCAAGTTTTATTTTAAATGGTACTGAACAGGTCTAATATCATGGGTGCAGCATGGCATGCACACTTATTGAGACTATATTGTATCAAGTCCCACTGAGTGAGACTTGATGTTGTATCAAGTCCCACTGAGTGACTATGTTGTATCAAGTCCCACTGAGTGAGACTTGATGTTGTATCAAGTACTTTGTTGTATGTCCTCCCCAGAGCTACTACATCAGCAGGAGCTGGTACGTCCCCATGAGGTTCAGCCAGTGCCCAGACAAGAGACTTGTGTATGCTCAAACTGCTTTTGATGCCAGCTTTTACATTGACTTTGATGGCTTTTTGCCAGGTCAGTCCCCATCATTTTTTGTCATTAACTTTCACCTTAATGACTTAATCACAATCGAGCTCATTATTTGGCTAGCTGAGATTGAACTCTCCTTGTTTTGTCTGTCTTTAGCGTCATGCAATCCACCTCCATAGATCTAACTAGTTTTTACTGTTTATACAATCTCGGTCCAATGTCCAGGTCAAATCTTGTACATCAATTTTGGCACAATTAATGTCAACACAAGAGCATAAATATTTTTAATCTGATTAGATATTAAGTCATTTAAAAGTTTATTTTAAGATCACTATATTTACTAGCAAAATATTAAATAAGTCATTTAAAACCTTTATAAAGAACACTATGTTCATTAGCAAAAGATAAGACAGCTAGATAATAACCATAGCTCTATCCGTCATAAAGTGGTAATTTTAGCATCTTCAAGTCCATTGTGTTGAAGGCAAATGTTTTTAGTTATGGGAGATGTCAACTCAAGAATGGTTTGCTTTGAATGATTAAATTTAGTGGAAATTGTTTTAAAAACTTTAATGTCAACTTACCTGTAAATGTTTACAAAATTTAAATAGCCAACAAAAAAGTAGAAAATAAAACCATGGGGTGAAACAATAGCCAGATTTTAAGTGCTTTTATAATTAAGAAAATAAACACACTAATTTGAACTCTTTAGGAGTTTGTGGTTTGTTGTTTGTGGTAAATTTTGCTACCATTGCTTTTATTTTACAAGTGTAAATGAAGAAGATTTATTTTGATATAATTGAAATACTGGTTATAACAAAACAAATTCTATTATTGTATTTAGTGTTATAATAAAACAAATTCTATTATTGTATTTAGTGTTATAATAAAACAAATTCTATCATTGTCTTTAGTAAAATATAATCTCATCCTTTACTTAAAGTTATTTAGTTTGAAATGTGATTTTTTTTTTAAACAATTTTTTTGCATGACTTCATCTTGTTTTAAAATATTTCACAGTTCTATTTCCTCTTTTGAGACAAGCAAAAAAAATATTAAAAAAAAAATATATATAAATATAATATATTTGTAATTTATTGGCACTTATTTTCTTGTTTGGCAGAGGGTTTGTTTCACCGCATTCAAGCAAGGGCTATCCAGTGGTCACAGGAGCATGGGGGACGGGATCTCTACCTGGCTCAGGGTATAGCTCGTCTATTTGTTGACCCTGACCATGACCTTCTCATTGAGATGTGCCCCCCACACCTGCACAGGATAAAGGTAACTACACACTCTACACAGGATACATTTAACTACACACCTGACACACTTATACAGGATAAATTTAACTACACTCCACAGAAAAAATGTAACTACACACATACACAGGATAAAGGTAACTACACACCTACACAGGATACATTTAACTACACACCTTACACACTTATACAGGACAAATTTAACTACACACCTTACACACACAGGATAAAGGTAACTACACACCTACACAGGATACATTTAACTACACACCTTACACACTTATACAGGATACATTTAACTACACACCTTACACACTTATACAGGATACATTTAACTACACACTTACACAGGATACATTTAACTACACACCTTACACACACAGGATAAAGGTAACTACACACTTACACAGGATACATTTAACTACACACCTACACAGGATACATTGAACTACACTGTCCACACCTACACAGGATAAAGGTAACTACACACTTACACAGGATACATTTAACTACACACCTACACAGGATACATTTAACTACACTGTCCACACCTACACAGAATAAATGTAACTAGATGCACACCACACTCATTTTAAAAAGTTTATACTAAATACTAATACCTGCCTTGTGTTTATGATTTCAATGGATTTTATTTTATCTGTACATCAGATCCTTGTGATGCACGTAAAAGAGAAAGAAGCAACATCCTCTAAACGCCAGACTAGCCCAGCTCCCCATGTGGTCGCCATGGTAAATACTGTTTGATATAAAACTAGTTTTGTATCAGCCATTAGGTTAACAACAAAACAGTTCTATTACAGCCCTAGTTAGTTGGATCTCACCATAGCTCCAGCTATTGTCTAACTTGTAGCTCCCCCATTGTCTAACTTGTAGCTCCCCCTTATGTCTGTAGGTCCACCACATGCTAGAGAGCTGTTTAGCAGACCTGCGTGTCCTGTGGATGAAGCACCTATTGTCTAACTTGTAGCTCCCCCTTATGTCTGTAGGTCCACCACATGCTAGAGAGCTGTTTAGCAGACCTGCGTGTCCTATGGATGAAGCGCCTCTCCTACAAGCTGTGTTTCCCCTGCCCCTGTGTCAGGATCTGTAACCTTCACCAAGCTGAGGCCTGCACAGCTGACGATTGTTTACATTTTCTAGATTTAAATGAATGTCTGGCAAACCAGGTTTGATCATTGTTCAGTCTTGATATGGAGTTGTAGAGTTGTTATGTTTAATAGGATTTGAGTGTTGTTTGTGGTTGGTATGTCCTAGATATTGTATAGTTTTTGTTATGATGATGGTATTTGTCTTTGATGCTGTAATCTTGTTGTTACTTTGAGTTATTGTCTAGTTGGCAAGTAACCTCTTCTGTGATGTATAAACCTGACCTTCTGTGATGTATAAACCTGACCTTCTGTAACTGTATAAACCTGACCTTCTGTGACTGTATAAACCTGACCTTCTGTGACTGTATAAACCTGACATAAACCTGACCTTCTGTAACTGTATAAACCTGACCTTCTGTAACTGTATAAACCTGACCTTCTGTGACTGTATAAACCTGACCTTCTGTAACTGTATAAACCTGACCTTCTGTGATGTATAAACCTGACCTTCTGTGATGTATAAACCTGACCTTCAGTGACTGTATAAACCTGACCTTCTGTGATGTATAAACCTGACCTTCTGTAACTGTATAAACCTGACCTTCAGTGACTGTATAAACCTGACCTTCTGTGATGTATAAACCTGACCTTCTGTAACTGTATAAACCTGACCTTCTGTGACTGTATAAACCTGACCTTCAGTGACTGTATAAACCTGACCTTCTGTGATGTATAAACCTGACCTTCTGTAACTGTATAAACCTGACCTTCTGTGACTGTATAAACCTGACCTTCAGTGACTGTATAAACCTGACCTTCTGTGATGTATAAACCTGACCTTCTGTGATGTATAAACCTGACCTTCTGTGACTGTATAAACCTGACCTTCTGTGACTGTATAAACCTGACCTTCTGTGACTGTATAAACCTGACCTTGTATAAACCTGACCTTCTGTAACTGTATAAACCTGACCTTCTGTGATGTATAAACCTGACCTTCTGTGACTGTATAAACCTGACCTTCTGTAACTGTATAAACCTGACCTTCTGTGATGTATAAACCTGACCTTCTGTGATGTATAAACCTGACCTTCTGTGACTGTATAAACCTGACCTTCTGTGATGTATAAACCTGACCTTCTGTGATGTATAAACCTGACCTTCTGTGACTGTATAAACCTGACCTTCTGTGATGTATAAACCTGACCTTCTGTGACTGTATAAACCTGACCTTCTGTGACTGTATAAACCTGACCTTCTGTGATGTATAAACCTGACCTTCTGTGATGTATAAACCTGACCTTCTGTAAATGTATAAACCTGACCTTCTGTGACTGTATAAACCTGACCTTCTGTGACTGTATAAACCTGACCTTCTGTGACTGTATAAACCTGACCTTCTGTGATGTATAAACCTGACCTTCTGTGATGTATAAACCTGACCTTCTATGATGTATAAACCTGACCTTCTGTGACTGTATAAACCTGACCTTGTGTGACTGTATAAACCTGACCTGTGACTGTATAAACCTGACCTTCTGTGATGTATAAACCTGACCTTCTGTGACTGTATAAACCTGACCTTGTGTGACTGTATAAACCTGACCTGTGACTGTATAAACCTGACCTTCTGTGACTGTATAAACCTGACCTTCTGTGACTGTATAAACCTGACCTTCTGTGACTGTATAAACCTGACCTGTGACTGTATAAACCTGACCTTCTGTGATGTATAAACCTGACCTTCTGTGATGTATAAACCTGACCTTCTGTGATGTATAAACCTGACCTTCTGTGACTGTATAAACCTGACCTTCTGTGACTGTATAAACCTGACCTTCTGTGACTGTATAAACCTGACCTTAACTTTTTCATGATACAGATAGTTTGTTGTGGACATCGAAGAATAAAAACAGAGTCTTTCAAGAAATGGTTTCCAGTATTAAAGTCAAATGGTAAACATTTTCTTTCTGTAGTTTTGTCAAATGGTAAACATTTTCTTTCTATAGTTGAGTCAAATGGTAAACATTTTCTTTCTATAGTTGAGTCCAATGGTAAACATTTTCTTTCTGTAGTTTTGTCAAATGGTAAACATTTTCTTTCTATAGTTGAGTCAAATGGTAAACATTTTCTTTCTATAGTTGAGTCCAATGGTAAACATTTTCTTTCTGTAGTTGAGTCCAATGGTAAACATTTTCTTTCTGTAGTTGAGTCAAATGGTGAACATTTTCTTTCTGTAGTTGAGTCAAATGGTGAACATTTTCTTTCTGTAGTTGAGTCAAATGGTGAACATTTTCTTTCTGTAGTTGTGTCAAACAGTATTATCTCCTACAGTGTTGATCTAAACAGTTTTCTTGTACTACCATCCTGACTAGTATACTTAGATTTATTAAAAACACTTTTTAATGATAATTAATTCTGTTATACCATGACTTGACATAACTCTGCTGCTACAAGTTGTTAGACATTTCTAAAGAGTGTTAGGCATTGATTTTATTTTCTCTCCCCCCCCCTAATTCACCCAGTTCACTGGTAGATTTTGTTTTCAGAATTCAAAGAACCAATTCTAGCCCCATTGTCAATAGAAGCTGGGCATGGCAACATTGAGCGCCATTTTCCCAGCCTGCCTAGCTGGTTGAAGGGAGCTGCCAAATTGTTGAATGGAGCTTCAGATAACCAAGGATGGCTGGCTCTAGCTCGTCTTATGGGTAGGCTGCAATAGTTTATATGGCTACATTGGTCAATTACCAGGCTAGTCTATATGGCTACATTAGTTAATTACCAGGCTAGTCTATATGGCTACATTAGTTCATTACCAGGCTAGTCTATATGGCTACATTAGTTCATTACCAGGCTAGTCTATATGGCTACATTAGTTCATTACCAGGCTAGTCTATATGGCTACATTAGTCAATTACCAAGCTGTGACTTGCTGGCTGATGCCAATAAATTGTTGTACACCAGGCTACAAGCCAAACCGTATTGACCTACTTAATGAGGACCTGAACCCCTCTCTGGCCCTGCTGACCGACTGGATCGTCACATCAGGAAACACCACCATGTCTGTTGATGTTCTCATGCATTATTTGCAGCAGCTGGGCTGCCATGATGTTATAGAGGTCATCACACGGGCCAAAGGTCAGTTACCAAAGTTCAGTAGCATCAGGAGTGTCAGGTTTACCACAAAGGTCAACTTACACTAATGAATTACTGTGTCAGATTTTTATACCAAAATTTCTTTGGTCTAAACACTTTACTGACCCTATACTCAGAGTATGATTCTATTGACTGACCACTGTCCTCAGAGTATGATTCTATTGACTGACCACTGTCCTCAGAGTATGATTCTATTGACTGACCTCTGTCCTCAGAGTATGATTCTATTGACTGACCACTGTCCTCAGAGTATGATTCTATTAACTGACCTCTGTCCTCAGATTATGATTCTATTGACTGACCACTGTCCTCAGAGTATGATTCTATTGACTGACCTCTGTCCTCAGAGTATGATTCTATTGACTGACCACTGTCCTCAGAGTATAATTCTATTGACTGACCACTGTCCTCAGAGTATGATTCTATTGACTGACCACTGTCCTCAGAGTATGATTCTATTGACTGACCACTGTCCCCAGAGTATGATTCTATTGACTGACCTCTGTCCTCAGAGTATGATTCTATTGACTGACCTCTGTCCTCAGAGTATGATTCTATTGACTGACCACTGTCCTCAGAGTATGATTCTATTGACTGACCACTGTCCCCAGAGTATGAGTTTGAAAGACCTCAGGTGTTCCTGAGCTACCAGTGGGATGTACAGGATGAGGTGGCATCAATCAGGAATTATTTAGAAAGATCTGGATACTCCTGCTGGATGGACATTGGTCAGATGGGTGGAGGAGATGAACTCTCCAACAAAATAGACCAAGGCCTTCGAGGCTGTAAAGTAGGCGTTTCCTTGTTTTTTAAGACACTCATTTAATTTAGGAGACATGTCGGTTTTAACTTTCCCACTTTTTACTTTCTTGTATACGAAGTATAGAGAAAGTATTGTAATCATGCAAACATATTTTTGCAATCTTGTCCGTATGTCTGTGTGTGTGTGTGTGTGTGTCTGTAAACACAATAACTTGAGTACCGTTATAGCTAGGTTGATGAAATTTCATTAAAAAAAGTTTTATATCAAATTTGTAGATCTGTATCAACTTTTGAGCAATTTCTGATAACCGTAAGTAGAACTTATAACTGGAGTACTATTTCAGTTAGATAAATGAAATTTCACATGTAAGTAAAACATCTAATTCTCTGCCAACTATCAAATTTTGAGTAACTTCCGTTGACCGGAAGTAGTAATTTACGCATTTCCAATTTCTCAAAAAACGCTTGTGAATTTATAAAGTGCTAATAATATTCCGCACTATTATACACATTTTGCTTGTCGTTTGCTTGGTGCGCAATTCTTTTGTTCTATGAGATTCCATTATATTTTAAAAAGTTTAAGTAATTAAAAATCATGTCTATATCCCGAGTTGCCATCCCCCGTAGTGTTATATAAGAATATTCGAGAAAGTTTAGGGGAGATCACTCCCGGTTTATGTTTTTACAGAACACCAGTTTTCATCCCGCCTAAACATACCAGAGCTATAATTTAAATATATAATTTTAACTCTATAATTTCTAGTTGTTTAAAAAAATGTGTTGTCTTAGGTTTGACACAGTTGATGAAGGAGAAAGGGGTTATTAAATAATAGGATAAATAAAATAAGGCTGTTGGTCTACTGTAATTTAGTTGCCATAATTTAACGGGGCATATTTATTTTTAAATTTACTTTTTATTATTATAAAAAAGTTTCCTTGAAATGTTTTTAAAAACCAAAAAATACTGTGATAAAATTGCTTGCCACCTGTTTGTAAACTTAGTTGATGGTTTCATCCTTATTTGAGAAACTGATTTGAAGTTGAATACATTTTATCTATCATAAGAAACTGTCTTATTGAAGGAATAATTTCAAAATTGCAGGCTGTAGTGTAAAAAGAATAAATACAAAATATAACTAGTTGAATGTAGCTAGATATTTAATGTAAAACCATATGTGGTGTGTGTACAAGCAGCTGGCACCCACAGTTAACCTCCCTGTCCTCAGGTGGTGATTGCCTGTATCACACCCAAGTACATTGCCTCCCAGCTGTGTAACAGGGAGCTGTGGCTGGCTGACATGTTACATAAGCCAATCATCCCTGTGCTCATGGAGAACGTCTGCTGGCCACCACCTGGGGGCATGGCTGTCATCCTCTCACGGCTAGTTTACATCAGCATGAAAGGTAAATCATCTAAACAATTTGAAAGGTAAATCATCTAAACAATTTGAAAGGTAAATCATCTAAACAATTTGTAAGGTAAATCATCTAAACAATTTGAAAGGTAAATCATCTAAACAATTTGTAAGGTAAATCATCTAAACAATTTGAAAGGTAAATCATCTAAACAATTTGAAAGGTAAATCATCTAAACAATTTGAAAGGTAAATCATCTAAACAATTTGAAAGGTAAATCATCTAAACAATTTGAAAGGTAAATCTTCTAAACAAGTTGAAAGGTAAATCATCTAAACAATTTGAAAGTTAAATCATCTAAACAATTTGAAAGGTAAATCATCTAAACAATTTGAAAAGTAAATCATCTAAACAATTTGAAAGGTAAATCATCTAAACAATTTGAAAGGTAAATCATCTAAACAATTTGAAATGTAAATCATCTAAACAATTTGAAAGTTAAATCATCTAAACAATTTGAAAGGTAAACAAATCAGGTAAAGAACACCAGGCGATAACTGCCTCCATCCATCAGTGCTTAGATGCCCCGATCAATGGGCGTGGGCCACTTGTTGTATTGGCCTGATTTATGAGGCTTTAAATGTAGGCACATCAATCAGCTTGGGCCACACATCAATCAGCGTGGGCCACATCAATGGGCGTGGGCCACTTGTTGTATTGGCCTGATATATGAGGCTTTAAAGGTAGGCACATCAATCAGCTTGGGCCACATCAATGGGCGTGGGCCACATCAATGGGCGTGGGCCACTTGTTATATTGGCCTGATATATGAGGCTTTAAAGGTAGGCACATCAATGAGCGTGGGCCACTTGTATTGACATTTTAAATGAAGTTCTAAATGTTGGCACATAAGGCTGACGTTATTTTAGCACATAAAATGGCTTAATTGTTTTAGAAATCCACCCAAGTTTTTAGCTGTGATATAAAATGTCTTGCTGCTCTGTTCTTGTGACCTAAGATTTTAGCTGTGATATAAAATGTCTTGCTGCTCTGTTCTTGTGACCTAAGATTTTAACTGTGATATAAAATGTCTTGCTGCTCTGTTCTTGTGACCTAAGTTTTTAACTGTGATATAAAATGTCTTGCTGCTCTGTTCTTGTGACCTAAGATTTTAGCTGTGATATAAAATGTCTTGCTGCTCTGTTCTTGTGACCTAAGATTTTAACTGTGATATAAAATGTCTTGCTGCTCTGTTCTTGTGACCTAAGGTTTTAGCTGTGATATAAAATGTCTTGCTGCTCTGTTCTTGTGACCTAAGATTTTAGCTGTGATATAAAATGTCTTGCTGCTCTGTTCTTGTGACCTAAGATTTTAGCTGTGATATAAAATGTCTTGCTGCTCTGTTCTTGTGACCTAAGATTTTAGCTGTGATATAAAATGTCTTGCTGCTCTGTTCTTGTGACCTAAGATTTTAGCTGTGATATAAAATGTCTTGCTGCTCTGTTCTTGTGACCTAAGATTTTAGCTGTGATATAAAATGTCTTGCTGCTCTGTTCTTGTGACCTAAGATTTTAGCTGTGATATAAAATGTCTTGCTGCTCTGTTCTTGTGACCTAAGATTTTAGCTGTGATATAAAATGTCTTGCTGCTCTGTTCTTGTGACCTAAGATTTTAGCTGTGATATAAAATGTCTTGCTGCTCTGTTCTTGTGACCTAAGATTTTAGCTGTGATATAAAATGTCTTGCTGCTCTGTTCTTGTGACCTAAGATTTTAGCTGTGATATAAAATGTCTTGCTGCTCTGTTCTTGTACAAGGTGTTGGAGGACATGGTGGGACTGGGGTCCACGCTGACCTTATGGACAAATACACGGAGATTGTGCAGAGAGTTTCCCTGTATGCCAGTCCAGACCTGAGCCCCTGTGTTGATGCTACTGTGGTGGCTGAGCCCCAGCAAACAGAGCGCATGTCTGACAGACTCTCTGACTACAGGACCAGCATGAGCACGCTGAGTGAGGTGGACTACCACCGACAGACCAGCCACTACGAGCCCTCACTGGACGTCATGCTGTCTCGCTATAGTGACAGCCACGAGGCTGTACCCCCCATCCAGACCAGCAGCACCCACCGGGGGCCCCAGCAAGCCAGAAACCCTGTAACACAGGTCCATGTCAAGCAGTGTTCTGTCTGTCTCATCTTATAGCTTGTTGATCATTTAGATTTTTATGTAAATATTGTACACATGTTGATTTGCCTGTTTTGTTATATGATTGGACATGTTTCTGCTCAGAGGTTTAATACCACTCACTCTATTTGTGATAAACACCATGCTACATGCTTGCAACCTGCAAAGCCAAAATTGTGACAACTTACAATGCCATATGGTGATAGTCTTCGTAGACTGGTGGTGACACCCTCCATGGACAGGTGGTGACACCCTCCATGGACAAGTGGTGACACACTCCATGGACAGGTGGTGACATCCAGGAGGTTGTCAAACAATCTTAGAAGGTAGCACCAGATGCTTGCATGTAGATTGACTATGCAGAGATCTTAAATTGTAAATAATTGTTTCAGGCCAGTTTGACTGTAAATGGCTATATAAAGTCAAATGTACATATGTCAAATGTGAATCTAACACACATTATTTCTTTCCCATTGCTTTATAGCTGATATTAAAACATTTACATTATACTTAAATCATCCCATTTAAATTGTCTGCTCTCTCAATCATCAGACTAAGATTGTCTGCTCTCTCAATCATCAGACTAACATTTGTCTGCACTCTCAATCATCAGACTAACATTTGTCTGCTCTCTCAATCATCAGACTAAGATTGTCTGCTCTCTCAATCATCAGACTAAGATTGTCTGCTCTCTCTCAATCATCAGACTAACATTTGTCTGCACTCTCAATCATCAGACTAACATTTGTCTGCACTCTCAATCATCAGACTAACATTTGTCTGCTCTCTCAATCATCAGACTAAGATTGTCTGCTCTCTCAATCATCAGACTAAGATTGTCTGATTTCTCAGTCAGCAGACTAACATTTGTCTGCTCCCTCAATCATCAGGCTAAGATTGTCTGCTCTCTCAATCATCAGGCTAAGATTGTCTGCTCTCTCAATCATATACAGCCTAAGATTGTTTGCTCAGAGTTTTCCGTCCATGTAAATGTACTTTGAACAAATGAATGAATCCACAGATTCTCTCTATTTGTATGCTCATTCTTTCATTGATAGTTTGATGTAGCTAATCTATAGAACGTGCAACAAAGTTCCCTCACAGCTGCCCTGCACAGTAGCTGTAAACCTTCAGTCATTTTGTAGAACACAATCTTTGATAAGGTGTACCAATACCATGGAGCCACACAGTATCTGTAAACCTTCAGTCATTTTGTAGAACACAATCTTTGATAAGGTGTACCAATGCCAGGCAGCCACACAGTATCTGTAAACCTTCAGTCATTTTGTAGAACACAATCTTTGATAAGGTGTACCAATGCCAGGCAGCCACACAGTAGCTGTAAACCTTCAGTCATTTTATAGAACACAATCTTTGATAAGGTGTACCAATGCGCAGCATGCACAACTTATTTTGCTACTCCTTAGAGGGAATGTTGCTTGTGAGTAGAGTTTCTTCCAGGCATCTCTTGGGGGGGGGGGGGGGGGGGGGGGGTAGGGGCAAAGCCCCTCCCAAAAAAATTCTACCCCCCCCCCCCCGAACAAAATGAAATTTATATAATTTATATAGAAAATATATACTTTTAACAGTGTCGTCCCCCCCCCCCCTCCACCACCCCGAAAATTTCTAGTGTCCCCCCCCCCCCCCCGGAGAAAAAAGTCTGGAAGAAACACTGCTTGCGAGTAGGCCTCTGTGTAACTACTAACAGGTGGGAGATTACAAATACTGAGGCACACTAAAAAATGTATTGATGGTGATATATTGAGTCAGTTCACAAAATAAAACTAAGCTGATAGTCAAAGGATACACAATTTTTTTTAAAGATTTTATTTTACTTTTTTTATTCTTTATATGTTTGTTTATGTATATTACTAATATTACACTTCTTGGTTTGTTATGTGGTAGGTATTGCTTTGGTTGTTTTACTTTACCAGTTACAAGCAAAACCAATGGTGCTGGTGGGGGCCAATAATTTGTTGATATAAAACACATAAAAATAAAATATAAATATGGTTTGAATATTTTTCATTCATATGAATTATCCTTATTTTATGGTTTGTAGGCCTACTTGATTAGAAATAGATTAGAAAGTATTTCCAACAAAAGACTTACGTGCCTAATGTAGAAATGTGAAGGATTTAATGATGTGCCTCTTGTATTACTTTAGTATGTTACAAAATCAACTGGATATTTCAAGTTTATAGGCATTAAGTTTTATTTATATAATTATAATGAACATGTCTCTTTTTTGTATTTAAATAAAGCGGGACTGATCTCCCCTAAACTTTCTCGAATATTCTTATATAACCCTACGGGGGATAGCAACTCGAAATATAGACAATATTTTAAATTCATTTTTAATTACTTAAACTTTTTAAAATAGAATAGAATCTCAAAGAAAAAAGAATTGCACACCAAGTTAACACCAAATAAAATGTGTATAATAGTGCGAAATATTATTAGTACTTTATAAATTCACATGCTGATTTTTGAGAAATTGGAAATAGCCTAAATTACTACTTCTGGTCAACGGAAGTTACTCAAAATTTGATAGAAGGTAGAGAATTAGATCTTTTACTTATAAGTGAAATTCCATTTATCTATCTGAAATTGTATTCAAGTTATAGGCTTTTGAAAAAATCGAAAGTAGAAAAAGTACCACTTCTGCAGAGTTTCTTCCAGGCATCTCTTTGGGGGGGGGGGGGCAGAGCCCCCCTGCAGAAAGTCTACCGCCCCCGCACGAAATGGAATTTATATAGCAACATATACTTTTATTAGTGTCCCGTTCCCCCCCCCCCCCCCCCCCCCAAAAATATCAAGTGCCCTCTCTCTCTCCCCCCCCCCCCCCCCGGAGAAAAAAGTCTGGAAGAAACACTGCACTTCCGGTTGTCGGAAATCGCTGAAAAGTTGATAGGATCTACAAAATGATATAATACATTTATGTGAAATTTCATCAACCTAGCTGTAACGGTACTCAAGGTATCGTGTTTACAGACAGACACACATACACACACACAGTCATATGGAGAAGATTGCAAAACTATGTTTTTCTGACTCATGGAGGTGTAAAACATCGAGATTTGCAAAAATCTCAGCAAATCTCGATTATTTTTTTTTTGCACGATTACAATGCTTTCTCTAAACTTTGTATACGAGAAAATAAAAATGATCTGCATACTTAGCAAGTGCCAATCAAAGTTGTATATCATTGTTTTTGTTTATTCATCTGAAATAAACCTACCACATCTTTTCTACTATAATTTTATATAACTACAACCTTTTTGTTACATGTGGTGACAATCATTATGATAAATGTCCAGTCATATTGATTGTATCTAGATTTAAACACTGTGGCTGCCATCTGTATGATTGTTTCTACTTTCATGATTCTATGACAATCATGTACTGCCTTCTGTATGATTGTTTCTACTTTCATGATTCTATGACAATCATGTACTGCCTTCTGTATGATTGTTTCTACTTTCATGATTCTATGACAATCATGTACTGCCATCTGTATGACTGTTTCTACTTTCATGATTCTATGACAATCATTTACTGCCATCTGTATGATTGTTTCTACTTTCATGATTCTATGACAATCATGTACTGCCATCTGTATGACTGTTTCTACTTTCATGATTCTATGTCACCTACACAGGAGGTACTGAACAAATTGCCTACCACTGATTCATAGAAACACAAGCTAAGTTAAGGCCAGCAGAATGTCCAGTGGGTGTCCAGTGGTCGTGAAAACAAGACTTACACTAATCAGCTGGTTGTCAAGACCATGGTGGGTTGGTATGCTTCTGGCATTTACTTAGCAACAACATACATTTACAAGAAATGTTGGAACCAGATGTATGTTGGTAGGTTTATTTATTTTAGCAACAACATAGTTATACAAGAAATGTTGGAGCCAGCTGTATGTTGGTAGGTTTATTTATTTTAGAAACAACATAGTTATACAAGAAATGTTGGAGCCAGCTGTATGTTGGTAGGTTTATTTATTTTAGCAACAACATAGTTATACAAAAGGGAACAAAGAGCACTCTCTTTGTGATCTGTTTAAATAACATGACAAAAACGAATGATTTCTTACATAGGTGTGCAGAAAATATAATCAACATTAAAGTTCTGAACAGTGGCTCATTTGAGGGCAATGATGAATGGTTATTGCCATTGTAATTACACTTGGTGGCAGATAAATTACAACATATAATGCGGTGACATGGTACATTAAGTTTTATTACAACTTCATGTACAAAGATGCTATGTGGCAATATTAGTATTATTTGTTATAATTATAATCACAGTTTTTTCAAGTCTGTTTAGATAATTAACAATACAATTGATTAGCTTTTTTAACACATAATTTTAGATGAGAAAAACATCAATCTCCCTATACACATCAGTCAACACTGACATGATCTGCAAGCTATGTTGAATACACAATCACTTCAGTTAAAGGGGCTTTGTTGCCCTTATACCCAACACAAGTACCATCAGACTTTTGTTGCCCTTATACCCAACACAAGTACCATCAGACTTCTGTTGCCCTTATACCCAACACAAGTACCATCAGACTTCTGTTGCCCTTATACCCAACACATCACACTTCTGTGCAGTGTTTCTTCCAGACTTTTTTCTCCGGGGGGGGGGGGGGGGCGGACACTAGTAAAAGTGTACGTTTACTATATAAATTCCACCATAAATTCCCCCCCCCCCCCCCCCCGAAGAGATGCCTGGAAGAAACTCTGCTTCTGTGCCTCTCTACACCCCACAACACGTCTTCACACTGGTACCCCGTTACTCAATGTCGTTTGAACTGTGTCGGTCGGATCACTGCGTTTATGAAGCACACAAAACGACTAGAAGGCGGGGGAGGAAATTGTGTATCAACGGCTGGAACTAAATAAATTAAACCCCTGAGTGCCACGCGAGTGGTATAAAGTAAAAATAAAGCAACATTCCGTGCCCACAAGGCACATGCTTCATTTTATTTACACCTAGTTTTTCTATCATTAGGAGTTGGCTCTTCTTGCCTTCACCTTTTTTGATGACTTTACCCCTCCTTATGGTCGCAAAACAAGCCGACCCGCCATAAAGTGAAGTCACACTTCAGTTTACTCCTCCCCAGTAATGTGACAATGTTTTCCCCAGTTAGCTATTAGACTAAATTACAGTTGTATTTTTAAAGCATCGTTAGGCACAGAGTGACACCAAACAGCCGATAGTTGTTTTAATACCATATCTCTGATACAGTCGTTGGCTATGGAGGGTGACGCCCAGGGTTACCCGACCTAGTGACGATGGTTTTTCTTCCAGACTTTTTTCTCTGGGGGGGGGGGCACTGGTAACAGTATACGTTATATATATATATTTCGTTCGGGAAAGGGGGGGGGGGGGGGGGGGTGACGGTAGACCTAAAGAGATGCCTGGAAGAAAAAGAAACTGAATGACGCCACGCCTCAACTGTTCTCTAAATTGCAAGTTTTGTTAATAATAAATACATTGAACTACAATGCAGTCTTTAAAAATGTGAATGAATTGCACTGGTAGATAAAAATCACTTCAACTCTCACTCGGCTGTAACTTACCGTGCCACTAACATTACGATTCTGGGAAATAGAGTTTTCATGATTCGTTTCAAGGGATGCAACTCTTACATAGCAATAGAAAGTGGGGGGGGGGGGGGGGGGGGGGAGATTTTCGACGGTGGAGAAACATTTATTTTTAATGTCAAACTGGAGTTGTGCAACCATTAATAAATGCGGAGTGAAACCGTGCGTCAATCTCTAAATTATTTTATTTTCACACCTTATAAAACGCTTCTGCCTATAGCAAGACGATGTTATCATTGGGGGGGGGGGTGGGTGCAGATGACCGGTGAATGTTCCCTAGATTTAGTGTGTCCATCTCCACAGCCCTGTTAAACACCACATTTCTATTGACGTTACACTAGACACCACATTTCTAGTGACGTCACACTGCAGCATGGCCAGTCGAAACTATTTTAGTCTTTTTTTTTTTTTCGTTGCTACTTTATAATACTGACTAAAACTTGGTAAAACAACGGTGGTATGTTTAAAACACGAGCCTTTATAGAAATTATAGGCTACAGTTCTTATGAAATGTTTGAGAATTTCAAGAACAGCGTATAACCTCTGTCTCCTTACTTCCATTATTTAGTGTCCATTGTGTCTCCTGCCCCCCCCCCCCCCACACACACACACAAGCAGAGAATTCCCCACGAATGCCGCCTGTTCCTAAATCCGTGAATCAAATGGCGACTTCTTGAGCTGGTCGGCTCCACACTCTGGTGGTGGGTTCAACTCCATGCTGCACTCTCGTAGTGGGCCGTTCTTGTCTCCACACTCTGGTGGTGGGTTCAACTCCATGCTGCACTCTCGTAGTGGGCCGTTCTTGTCTCCACACTCTGA